CTCTCTCTCTCTCTCTCTCTCTCTCTCTCTCTCTCTCTCTCTCTCTCTCTCTCTCTCTCTCTCTCTCTCTCTCTTTCCTTCTGGACGGGAGGAGTTGGGGTGAGGGTGGGGAAAGGGAGCCACTTATGTTTCTTGTATGCAAAGAATTTGAACAGACAGCCTGCTGACCAATCACTGCGGGTGTTTTATGTGGAACTTGCTACTTTTCAACCCTCCCCTTTCTGCCCCCTGCATGTACTGCTCACCACCTACAAACCTTTCGAGCGCCCTCAGCATGTGCATTGACGATTCAGCTTTGAAAACAGGAAGAATGTATTGGTTACGTTGAAAACGGGAAGAGCATATATTGGTTTGGGAAAGGAAATGGGTACTGTGCAGAGGAGGTATGAATTCTATGAAGGCCTGGGCTCCGAGCTTTCTTTTACTTGGACATCAGAACAGGAAAATAATCCATGATCTCTTTTTTTTTCTAAGGAAAAGAAAAGAATCCATGATTGGTTATGGGAATGTGCTGCAGGGTGTTTTTGAGGGGCTGAAGGCAAATCGTACGGAAGATGGCCGAGTGCTGTTGTTCCGACCTACTGAAAATGGCTTGCGGATGGAAATGAGCGGGAGCCGCATGTGCATGCCCACAATCCCACCAGATGAGTTTGTCGACGCCGTGCTCCAGACAGTGGCTGCAAATCGACGATGGGTGCGTATGCCAACTACGCCAACTCCCCCAGCGTGCATCACATCATTCTCTTATTGAAACACCAGTTGCACTCTTGTAGATACTTAATATAGTGCATTGGGCAGGCAGATTCAAGGAGGCGATGGCTGCGCAAGTGCAACTGTGTAGTAAAGCATATTAAGTATCTACAAGCGTGGCATGGTTCGACCGGGGCTGGAGCTGGATTTGGATTTCACTGGAGCTGGTGTTCGACTGACACAGACTCTTTTTCTAAGTTTTCTGTAAATTAAGCCTCATTTCTCTGGCCTTTCTTGTCAGTTGGGAGTGAGCTTTTTTTTGCACTACGAGCTTGTTTCCTTCCCTAGCTTAGACTGCAGTAGCCAATTACCTCGCTGCCGTCAGAATGGTACAGATACGATGTTGGTAAAGTTACTGAGCACAAGTTCGAATCCGATTATCTGCAAAGCATTAGCGTTATCCCCGTTTCAAAAAGTTCAGGAAAGACGGGGGTAACACTTAAACCGCTTGTACATGGCCCCAGCCCTGCAAGATTTATTCATGGCTGTCTACTGAAATATCGGACGCTTGGGGCTACCGGACCGCAATGGCTGGTGGCGTGAGCCAAAAAAGACAAAAAGTGTGCTGCTGGCAGTTTGGCAAAGCGTGGCATGCAGTCCGCCACCGCCAGGGCTGGGTGTACTGGTGGTTTAATGCATTTGACACAGGTTAGAATGCCAGGCCATTTGCTGGCAGGCCCGGCACTGAACATACCAAGCGAGTGTCATTTCGTGATGATCAATATGTGGCATGTTCTGTACAACATAATGTGTTTCTTAACTTTCTTTAACTTTCAGTAACAGGTTTGTGTTGGGTTATTGGTGGCTTGGAAAGGTCGTAGGTCGACTATTTAGTTAAGGCTTTGTTAAGGATCCTCCGAAAGTATCGGCGGCATTGGTTCACCCAAGTCCGACACATGCTTTATGTGCAAAATGTACTTCTCTTGTGTGTCTTATTACCACATAGCGCATACATCAAGTCACACGGGCATTCTGTTCCTTTTTTTTTTTGGTTTTTCAAAAGGGTAACAGCGTTGAGATATCGTCTTTGAACTGACCGGCCTCAGCCTCCATGTAAATTCAGAGATGCTTTCACTCATCCGATTGCATGTGGATGCAAACTTGGGTCTGTATTTCAACTGTTCATGGGTGTACCAACTGAGCTACTGTCCTCACCCGAATAGAACGCCCGGTCATTATATGTTGCATACTCCAATGAGTATGGGCAGAACCAAGAATCAACCAATGTAGGATGAGTATAGATGCAACGGAAGTCTGATAAACGGACTGACTCACATAGCATCACTCCACACACATTCAATCGTGAGATGGTGGGGTCTGAGCCATACATAGAAGATGCTCAGCCCCGTACACACATACACAGATGAATGGGGGAGGAGAGACGAAGAGGTGGGGGGGAGGTAGACAGCACCGAAAGTCACCGAGGTAGGATCTGATAGGTCACCGATATGGCAGGCCAAAATGTCGTCCAACAAGATCAAAATGTCGAGGACCATAGGTCACCAATGTCGGGGATACAGAGTCCAAATGTAACCGGTGTCTGAACTGTGATGTCGCCAAGTATCAACCCCAACGATCTCCAAGTCTCCAATCTGGTAAGTACCACAGTCTCATATCACCGAA